TGTACTGAAACTGTTGGAAACTATGAGACAGACAGGAAAAGGTGAAACAAACATGGTCAGAGGGAATCAAAGCCCAGCCATGGTTTCCTCCGTGTTCCATATCATTACCCGCTTTTACTTCCCACTTACGAATCATCCAGCCACCATAAGGTTCTGGCCTCTCCACCTTCTCTGAAATTGCTCTCTCCAAGATCACCAGGGACCACTTAAATTCTAAATCTTATAGGCTTCTCTCAGTGTACACCATCTTCTACTCATCTTCTCCACAGTATTGAAGAGGCCAACCAATTTTTCCTTTTTGACCTTCTCTCCTGTTGGCCCTTTACTGTCTTCCTCTCTCCCTGATTTTCTCCTTTGTTTCCATCTACTAATCTTTTGAATTCAGGATTTTGACATCCCCTGCAGTTCATTCACACTCTAAGCGTTTCATATAGTTTATCCAACGATGAATTCATTATTTTTGCTCAAAAATTACCATCATCCTCCAGCACAGACTGCAGCTCTGAATGCCAAGTTCGTCTCTCCCGCTCAGCTTCTCCCTTTCATCATTCACTTGGTAAATCCCTAGTGGCATCTTTCTCCACCACAAATACGACCATCACTCTCTAACACCTTCAATGACTCACCACCATTCATGAGTTCAAGCTTAACTATAAGGCCTCATTGCTGTTTCTGGGTCTTTTGACCAAGCTTCTTGGTTCCCAGGGCTCCAGGCCCCATTGTGGACTATAGGTTTAGGATTTTCCTTGTGATCTCCCTACTCTGGTCCTGGTTGCCTGCTCATGACCCCACGTCTTGGATTATGAGTAAAACCATTGCCCCTTCACTTCATCTTTGCTTGTGAAATATTCTCCAATGCCTCCCTTTTGTTCAAGCATTCCATGACTTCAAGCCTTCCATGACAAAGCACAGGTGACTTTGTTAATACCCTGTTTATCTTTACACAAACACACACACACACACAAAAACAATACCCCCTTCAGTTGACCTGAACACCCACTATTTACCCAAATATATTCCTTTTGTTCATACTAAACTTACACACACGTGCACAAATGTGCACTTGTACAGCTACATAGATCACAACGACTTAGTTGTAACAGGTGTGTAAAAGCCTTTGGAGATATGGGGAACAAGGAGCTGAATACAAATCAATAGTGAGATGAATTTGCCAAAAAAAAAAAAGAAAAGGAAAGTGAGTGCCATCTTGGTTTGAGTCGAAGGAGGTGAATCATGCATTCATTCAACAGTATTATTGATTTTCTATGCTGGATGTTCCAGATATGATACAATTCCTGCCTTTTTGAAGTTTACTGTCTAGAGGGAAAATAGACATTAAACAATTGTAACCACAGAAATAGGTATAAAATTATAAATTATGATAAATTCCATAAGGGAAAGAACAAAACGCAGGGATAATGGAAAGTCTAATGGAGAGCTAGTTTAGATTAGGAGGTGAGAGTACAGAGATCTAAAGGGCAGGGCCAGGAGATGTGTGAGAGGAAAAGAATTCCAGGCAGAAGGAACTGCATGACAAAGGCCATGTTAGGTAGCTTGACTATTATCTTAGGTTTAATGGGCAATCCTGGAAATTGGGTTTTAGTGGATAGACATCATCTCTTTTGTGGTGCTTCTACCACCACAGTGTGGAGTAGACCCTTTATTCTGTTTTCCAAATAACCTCTTTCAAGTTATTATAGAGAGATTAGAACTTTTTAAAACTAGTCCTGCAGATGAGAAGAGCACTTGAAGGCCAGGAGGACACCAGTGGCGATTAATTTGGAGAAGACAAAATGAGAAAAAGAAAAAAGGGAAAGAAAAATAGTATTTATTGAGCATTTGCGACATGGTGGTCACTGTGCTAGGAACTGTCACATACATTATCTCATCCAGTCCTTACCACTACGCTGAAAGGTAGGCATTCGTTCCATTTTACAGATGGAGAAACTGAGGTTGGATAAGATTTAGTAGTTTACACAATTAATAAATAGTAGAAGCAGCTTTCAACTCTTATTCTACTTGATGTCAGTGCTCTTCTTCTACACCATTGTCACCAGATCATTATTTTCAGATCTCCAAAGCACTGCCAAGGGTTGGAAAGACAGGGCCCTTAGGTTCCCATGACAGAATAAAGGCAGCAGTGCATCCAAAGGTAGAAAGGGTTAAGCTGGAGTAGCATCCATCGCAACAGTGGAGTTAGGAGCCCCAACAGGGAGGAAGTCCGACCAGCCAAGTAGCCCGGGAAGGCCAAGGGTCAGCAGAGGAACGCACCAAGAGTTTGAAAGATGCAAAGGAGAGTAGAGAGCAGTGGGACCTATTCAGTGAGTCAGAGGCTGTGGTAGTCATATGTGCAACCTCAGACCAACCCTAAAGGAAGAGCTGGGCTGGGAGCTGGGAGGTTTCCAGCACTGGAATGGATGCCACACTCCTCCTGGGCATTCTTCTCTGGCTGGTTACCAAACACAGTAACAGCGCTAGGGCCCGAGCCCTTCTGCCCAAGGCGGGATTCCTTTCACAAGCCTTCTTTGCTCTGGATCTCCTCAGTGGATTCTCTAAGACTTTGTCAGTTTGAAGCCCTCCCTGCCCAATCTGTCTGCTTCCCAGAAGCCCTGTACGGACACAGAAGCAAAAAGTAGAAGGAAACTCAAGAGTCAAACTGCTGGCTTGGACCATCCTAATAAGAACCAAGTTTTACATAGCACTTCTTACGTGTATATTTACACAAATAATTCATTTAATCCTCAAGACGTTATGAATGAGGACCACTATTATCAGTTATAGATGAGGATCCTCAGAAGAATAAATAACTAAGATCTCACAGCTCATAATTGGAAGAGCCAAAATTTGCACCTGTGTAGTCTGGCAGAGAAGGCAAGTTTATGACCCTTGAGTTCTCCTTGGGCAACCCATTTCAGGGAAGGTATAGATAAACCTGAAAGATGAAGGAGTAAGGCCTTGTCAAGTATTTGCAGTATGTGTGGGGGTAGCCTTCGTGATCTCTCTCCCCTCTCACTCTTCCATTCTTTGTTCCCCCTACAATGGCTTTCCTTTCTTTTCTAGCACCCTCTGGGCCCTTTGTCTCCAGGGCCTTCACGAGAGCTAATTCCTTGGCCTGGGACCCTCCCCCTCCCATCTGTCTAACCTCACGGGTCCAATGTCTACTCATCCTGCTGGTCTCAACATGGCCTTGGGGAAACTTAACCTGACCACCAGCCTGTGTTCAGTCCCCTGTTACACTCACTCACGGCACCTGGTACTTTTCTTCTAGACAACTCTTATGACAGCTTTGATGAAGTAACTAGTTCCGTAATGACTTGGTGTATGTTCATGAACACGATGACTGGATGACTAGCCTGGCAGCTTGGGTCTCAGCCACAAAGGAGAGAGGGCAGACAGAGGCTTACAGCAGAGACACAGCCTACTCAGAAAAAGATTATATGGTTGAAAATTAAGTGAGGAAGGCATAGATGGGCATTGAGTGTACCATCAGCAGAGGTATGTGGAGAGGGTGGTTGACACTTGGGAGGAAACTGGGGGAGAGAACCAACAGAGCAGGTCTGTTTACAGAGCCCAGGGTCGACCTTCCATCTCTGAGGGTCCCCCAGTGACATCTCTGATGCTGTGCATCCAAGATGTGTATTTGATCTTCATAAATAAGGCTGCACCATGCAGTGAAACATCTTAGAGGCAGAAGGTGGGGGCATCTTCTCTGGTTTGGGTTTGGTCTTTATTCTTACACTGCTGACAGCCAGGCCCTCCTTCCCCACCCCACCCACCGTGTTTCCTTCACAGAGAAACAAGGAGATAGACTAGATAATCTCCCAGGTCCTTCATTTCTTAGGATTACAGGCTATATTTCTTAGTCCATATTTCCACATTTTCAGGTTCCAACCCTCTTTAATGTCACAGGCCTTTTTCTTGCTTTATCTGTGATCAATACAATGGGAAAAATGACCCTGCCTAAAACAGTAAGAGCTTGAAAGAACGGTAATGAAATAAAGGTTATTTTTCTATCAGACTTTGAATTTCTTGAGGCTCTTACATAAAAATTGTTTATTTAATTTCTCTCAAGAACTCTGTGACATGGGGGATAGTATTTCCACTTTACTAACAGTGATGAGGAATGAATTATTAAGTTGTTTACACTTAATAATAAGCTACAGTTAGTCCTGCACAGAGTACTGGAGGCATTTCTGAGGCTTGAACCAGCTCTGAAGTTCAGTGATGTTGTCCTTATTGTACGTCATCAAGTGAGGTCAAGGAATAATATTTAAGGAGCGTTAGTGCTACAGAGGATGTGCTTATAAACTCGGTCACTGGCTTTGTATATGTAAGTCACAACTGAGAACTGGAAATGAATTATTTCATTCAGTGGATTATCTCACTGAAAACCAATTCATTAAAGAAGTATTTATTTGTAGAAGTATTTGGCAAGTGAAAAAATCCACAGATTCTTCCTATGAGTCTGCTTAATAAAGAAAAAAACCCAAAGGCACGTTTAAGTCATTTTTTTAAGGCTAAAAGTTCCAACTCAGCTTTTATAAGTAATAACATATACCTAAGTAATGCGGAAGAGAAAGAAATTTGGGGGAAAGATTATTTGGATGTCAATCTTTCAAAGAATTATTGCTTAATGACAGATTGTTTTTAATTCTAAAAAATAACCTTTTTTCTCTCTCTCTCTTGAGGCCTGAAAACTTTATGTTGGAGCAGGTTGGGCAAGAAGTGTTTTCTCCAGAAAGACAACATGGTTGGGGAACACAGGCTGGGACTGGGACGTGGTGGACTCAGTTCTCATCTAATATCATTGGTCTCTGGGAGATACTGGATGAACCAGTGTTACTTGTTGGCTCTTGCTCTCCCTAACCTCAAACTGGGAACAACTTGTCAAACGTTTAGACGTAATGGCCAATACAGACATAACTCCATTACTCCTTGTGTGTAAGGCTTTAGACGTCATAAATACTTCCTTATCCATTGTCTTATTTATTTCCTCCCCAATTCCTGTGATGTAGGTAACAAAGAGACGTGCGTGTCCCTTTGGTAGACAAGGAAACTATTGCTTCAGCGCGGACCTGCCCAAAGTTGCGGCGCGGGGATGGTGTGGAGCCAGGACTTGACCTCAGGTCTGCGGCTCTAATCCACGGTCCCTTCCACGCCATCATGAGGTGCTGACTTGCACAGGTAAGCCAGCTGAACGGAAGTTCCATGTTTCCTTTCTAACACACAGCTCTGGAGAAGGATGTGTAGGGTGACTGAGCCTGGTGAGAAAGGCATTTATGTGTCAGAAGCGTCTGTGCATTAATGCGGTGAGTGAGAAGTCGAACCAACATCTAATTTTAGTATGCAGCAAGTGCGGTGTTCCTGTTAATCGTATTCAGGCAGGCTGACTGAGGAGGAGAAAGGAATAAAATAAACATTTCACTTAACCTTTACAATTCGTATATTTTGATGGTCCCACCAGCTTTCGAATAACATTCCCTCTGTAATTGCCAGCCATTCTCTATGCTCGCCACAGACTCAACGGCTTTTTGCTCTCAGTTCTTTCCCTTCGCCTATTTTACCCTTAAGATGTTTCCCTACCCAGCTTCCTACCTCTTGGCACTCCTCGCACCCACCGGCTTCAGTCCTGAGTCCCTGTCTCTTCCCTCTTCTCCTGCTATACTTGTAGACAAATATAGGGTTGGGATAGAGGTCGCTCAGAGGCTACCTGTTAGATGTTCTGCACATGAGGAGCTCCAGGAAGGGGAGGAGGCAGGAAACCCCATAAACCACAGGAGCAGGAATCTGACAGCATCTTCAATGCCCAGGAAACAAAGGAGAAGGAAAAGAAAAGGAGTAAGGGAAAGAGCAAAGTAAAAGGATCTTTTTATCTTGGCTTTCTCATCCTACCTAGCTAAAAACCACCATCAAGAAGTAAAGCTATGGAACAGAAATGCTTTTTGTGTTGTTATGTTCAGCGTGGTAACTGCGACTGCAAGGATTCAACAATAATACAAGAGGTATTGGACAAGGTACTGGAGTGGACGAGGTATTGGAGTGGACGAGGATGTGGAGTTTAATACACAGGAATTGTCCCAGTACAACTCCTTGGTGGGGGTGTAGGAAGTTCTTTTCTGGTTGATCTGAATCAGGAAGCTATATATTCCACCAAAATGTGAGCAGACTGTAAATCTCCATTACCATGCCCAGCTGGCCAGAACAGAAAGCCCCCAGATTAGCTTTGTGCTGTGCTATCCAGTATGGTAGCCACTAGTGATGTGTGCCCTTTGAACACGTGCAATCTGACTACTCCAGATTCAGATATCCTATAAGGGTAAAATGCATACCAGGTTGTGGAAACGTAGTATGACAGAAAAAAAAATAGAATGCACAAGATCTCATTCATGATTTTAACATTTTGATTCTATGCTGAAATAATGTTTGATGATTTTAATATTTATATAAAATTAATTTCTCCTTTTCTAAAAACTCTCTGTAATGTGAAACTTTGAGATTACACATATGGTTCATTTTTGTAGGTCTTCTTATATTTCTATAAGATAGCGCTGGATTGGAGCACCAGAGTTGCAATTAGGGGCAAACAGAGAGAGAAATCCTCACCAGAATGATGAGCGATATGCCCAGTCTAGGCAACCCTGGAGTGTATCTGAGGCAGAAAATTGTCTTAAGATGGTTGTTGATAAAATCTGGGTATTCCAAGTGAGCTTTGCACAGCTGTGGGGAGGAAGTAGAGAAAACAAGCCAATGTTGGCAGCACGTGGTGAGAGAAGCGGCTTCTTAGAGACGGTGGTGCAGAGAGGCCAGTGGAGTTGAGGTCACTCGAGGAGGAGACGCCAGGCCCGATCAGCCAGAGACTTTCTATTTTTGCCATATTTCCCTAAAATTGTCCGGCTTTAGTGAGAGGAATTGAAAGATCTTAGGAGAAACATACTGTTACCCACATATTGTTATGTAAGACATTGTGTGTGTTTGCGTCCAGTTGTTTACACTTAATAATAAGCTACAGTTAGTCCTGCACAGAGTGGGTACTTTGCAGTGCCCGTTGAATCCTTTTGTGGGCTTTGTTAAGGTCCATCTTAGGAACCCCGTTAGGTATTCTTGTGGCTGTCCATCTCAATTTGGAACTACCTCCGACAAAATCCCAGTGACCAGTGTCTGAAAAACAAGCAAGCAGTCCCTCTTACAGAATGTGACTTCAGCCAGGCCCATCTTAGCAGGCGATGCTTCCAGTCCTGTTATTAACATTCCTGTTCACGGAAATCCCAGTTTTTCAAAACCCGGTGCAAAAAAGGATCCTATTTTAAATAAGATCTTTGTAAACCCAGCATTCCAAAAGGAAATGCACACATCTAGCCAGCAGTGTGAACATGTCTGTGTGGGTGACTTCCACGGACGGGATTTAATGAAGATTTTCACTGGTCTTTCTGTGTTCTGGGGCCACTCTGCCCAGTGACTGTGGCTGTGGACCAAGCTGGGTCCCTTTCGGTCTCCTGTTAAAAATATATTGTTTTTTTTTAAACCAATCAAGAAATCTAATACCAGAAAATATTTTTTTTCCCTCTGTCTTTAGTCTTCTTTGGTTCTAAATTGCAACCTAAGAATAGAAGAGGTGGCTATTTTTAAACCTGAGAGATAATAGATGACTGGGAGTCTCTCCATGTCTAACATAAACACAGATGAAAAGGGAGCCGCTACAGAATGAAACCCCAGGGCCAGATTTTAACCCCCAAGTGGGAGATACAACATAAGAGACTGAAGCCCTTAGGATTCTCTTCAGAGACACCCCAGCCAAGAGGTCTATCTCTAATTCTAGGTTTAACGGGAGGAATACTCAAGGCAGAGGCTAGTCCCCACGTCTAAACCCTTGCCGTAAGCACGTGTTTTATAGTTGCCTGTTTCAGGCTTATGAATAGCCCCGCCTTCTGGGTTGACCATTAAGGACATTTGCAACTTACTGCTTCTCTTCTTTGTTCTGTTTTTCAAGGATACCCATTCACAGATATCAGTATACAGTTTCTTTTCTTTCTTGAAGTATAGTTAATTTATAAGGTCGTGTTCATTTCTGGTCTACAGCATAGTGATTCAGATATATATTCCTTTTCATATTCTTTTTCATTATAGGTTATTACAAGATATTGAATAGAGTTCCCTGAGCTATACAGGAGGACCTTGTTGTTTATCTATTTTATATATAGCAGTTTATATCTGCTAATCCCCAAAGCAGAAGGAGACTCATAGACAGAAAACAAACTTGTGGTTACCAAAGGGGGAAGGAGGGAGGAGGGATAAATTAGGAGTTTGGGATTAGCAGATACAAACTACTGTATCGTTTCTTAATTACTCTTATCAACATAGGTTGCCAAGCTTTATAAACGTTCCCGTGTGGTAGTTTTTTCACAGAATCAATATCATGTCCTGATCTTGACATTCAAGTTTCTAATTGTATCATGGACAATCAAGCTTCTGTTCTGTTCCTTAAAAGCTATAAGATCTTGGGCAGGTTATATACTCAGTCTGAGACTTAGTTTCCTCATCTATAAAATGGGGATAATGATACTGTCCTCATCTGAAGACTGAGACATGATTTGCAGCAGCTGTGCTCACACATGGGATCATTTCTTCCCATGTCTGTAACTGCTCAGCACATAGTAGGGATGCAAATCATGGCTGCTGAATAGCTGCCTCTTCAATTTGGTTCTGAAAGGCTACTTTCAGAGTCAGCGGCAAGCAACCTCAGTTTTCTCCCACAGTGATGAGAGGTAATCAACAGCGCTAGTCTGCTCCTGCCAGTCATTCTACCAGGAAGAGGTGGAAACACCTTGGGCAGGGAAAACAATGCTAAAGAAGGCTTTGGGCTCTTCTGTCTAACTTAACAGGCAAGGAATAATTGGTGAAAAGTTCCCAGGTCTCAGTGGGCGTAATTTAACCTAGAGCCTCATTTCCTAAGACATTGGCTGTCATCATGACCTGGGTTAAATGCAGATCTTGTGACCTGTCTTGGTATTGCTCAATTCATCCCTCAGCTAGTCATCAAAAAAATGTCCTGTGCTCCTAAGAGGTGACAAGTCCTGTTCTAGTTAGTGGAAATGTAGGTGTGAACCAGGCAGGCAGTGTGTCCTGGCCCTCAAGGAGCATCCACTCTGGGAGGAAACTGGCATTTTTTTTTTTAAATCACCAAAAATGAATTCGCAGACAGGCTCTATGATAAAAACAACACAGGCAAAGCGTATCACCTTGGAACCTCGTAACCGCAACCCACCAAGGCAGCACAGGTCTCATCATGTTGTGTGGAAATGAGCCCAGAGAGGCCCTGGGGAGCCAGGAGCAGAGGTGAGGCCGGGCTCTTCCAGCTCCACCACCCGTTCCAGGGAGCACGCCGGTGCCAACGATGCAGAATAAATAAACCTTCAGTTTCCTCATTAAAAAGTGGAGGATTCCTCCTCTCAGGCTTCAACTAGAGAAGGAAAGAGCTCAGAACGATCCCCCACACTCAGAGTTCATTAAAAACACATGGTAGCTGCTGTCAAAAAGAACAGAGAAAGCAAATAACCATACGGTGGTGTCATAAAATTACTGGGAAGAGGTGTGGAGCCTTTCAGGAGAGAGAGTGGCTGACACTCTTTAGCAGAGTCAAAAGAAGGATCCTAGATGGGTTTCAAAGGTGAAATAGGAGCGTGAGGTGGGGCCAGAGTGTGATGACTCGGGGAAGGAGCGCGCACCATGCATGAAAGAGCACAGCTCGTGGCAGGGGGTGGACTGTAATTGCTTCTTACGGTGGGAATGTGAGTGTCCCGGAGGAGGGGGCGAGAGATGCGCTGGCTGAGCCCGGAGAGTAATCCCCTTTTCCACGGCTGTCAGGAGCTCTGGGAGGTGACGAGCGAACACAAGAGCCAGAGGAAAGCTCCGAGGCCCAGGCCCAGACGCGGTGGGCCATTTGGACCTCCATCATCCGAGAGGTGAAACCCCAATCGTGTGCCAAATTGCCTCTTCAAGCTCCGGTCTCTCCCCACTGTGGATGGTTTGGCTGTCTGGAATGAGATAATTTGTCAGACACCAGCTGCTGATCATTCCTTCCTCATGGGCACATTTATTATTATGTTCCAGTGCGCATGAAGGATCTTCCCCATCACTGGAGGGAAAATGATTAAAATGTTGGGTGGATTTTTTTTTTTTTTTTGCAG